CTTAATCTATGGTTGTACTTTCCTTTTGGGTGTTTAAGACCATACAGTTGGCCCAGAGAAGCCAATTTATTTTTACTCTTAAGGCTGTTTGAAGATCTGTTCCTCAGGGGTCACATGGGCTTGGGAGGAGCCCCTGGTTCCTTTCTTTTACCAGTTCCATCTATGTGAAGACAAGTCAAAGGTCCTGCTTGACCGTGGCTGGCTTTGCTTGGTAGCATGGAAGAAATGTTTCCTCTGTGTTGACCCTCCTCTTTGTAGACTGGACACTGGTTCAAGTCCATTTGATGGGGTCTTCATAGCCTACTTGATCAAGAGGACAGGTGACTCACCACAGTTACAGGACATTTTGAGAGATGCTCATAGTCTCCTGGAACTTAGTCGACCTAGGAGGGCAAGGAGCAAAAACTTTCCTTTATGTCCCTCTGACCAAATTAGTACAGGCCTCAAAGTATGACTGTTAAACATCCAAGAAGGTTTGTTCCACCGGTCTTGTACTTTTAATTACCATGTGTCATATAGATAAAGCTTGGGCAAAGATAAAACATTCTCAGATAAACCTTGCCTAGATATATATTATATTCCTTGAGCTAGTTGTATGTATAATTTGTCAGTAGGTTGTTCGACTGATATGGTTCCCTCTAGTTTTTTTTAAAACTAGGTAGGCATTTATCTCTCGCATTGTCTAACCCTTCAACTATGGTTTCCCCATTTAAAGTGCCCCCATTTTTCCCATTTCTCCTTTGATAATACCTTTCTTCTACGGTCCCACCTCTCTTGAGCTCCTTCTTTCCCTTTATCCTCTAGGTTCCTTGTACAACCTTCCCTCCCCCCTCTTCTTAAAATAACCCCATTTTTATCCATATCTCCCTTATTAACACCTGTTTTCTACTGTTCTCTTTCAGATTCTTTCTTTTCCTTTACGTCCGTGGTTCCTTTTCATTATCCTGGCTCCTGCAGTTATGTGGATACATATTCACTTATAAGGATTTGGTGCTAGGATCCACATATGAGGGAGAACATATTTTTTTTTTTTTTTCCTGAGTCTGTTACTTAGTACAGCAGTTTCTAGTTCCATCCATTTACTTGCAAATTTCATGATTTCATCTTTATTTACTGCTGACTAAAACTCCATCGTATAAATGAACCACATTTTCATTATTGAAAATATTGACAGACACTTAGGTTGCTTCTACCTCTTAGCTATTGTGAAAAGAGCAGCAACAAACATGGATGTACAAGTGTCTCTACAATAGGATGAGTTCTTTGAGTATATGCCAAGGAGTGGTATAACTGGGTCAAATGGTATGTTCATTTGTAGTTTTTTAAGAGTTCTTCACATTGCTTTCCATAGGGGTTGGACAAGTTTGCAGCCCCACCAGCAGTAGGTGAGAGTTCCCCTTTCCCCACATCCTCTCCAGTATTTGGTATCATTTGTTCTCTTGATCTTAGCCAGTCTGACTGGGGTAAGATGAAATCTTAAAGTGGTTTTAATTTGCATTTCCCTAATTACTAATGATGTTGAATACCTTTTAAGATGCTTCTTACCCATCTTTATTTCTTCTTTTGAGAACTCTCATGTTCAGCTCCTTAGCCCATCTTTTAATTGAGTTACTTCCTTTCTTGATTCTTTGTTTTTTGAGTTCGTTATATATTCTGAATGTTAAACTCTGTCAGATGTGTCACTGGGGAAGACTTTCTTTTTCTTCTACTCTGTGTGGTTTTTCTTTTCCCTTCCTTGGTTGCTTCTTTTGATGTACAGAAGCTTTTTAGTTTAATGAGGTCCCATTTTTGATTCTTGACACTGTTTCCTGAGCAATAGATGTCCAGTTTAGAAAATCCTTTCCTACACCTATATCTTGTAAGTTATTGCCCATGTTTTCTTCTGATAGTTTCAGAGTTTCAGGCTTCACATTGAGGTCTTTGATCCATTTGGAGTTGATTTTTGTGCAAGGTGAAAGATAGGGGTTAGTTTCATTCTTCTACAGGTGGAGATCCAGTTTTGCCAGTACCATTTGCTGAACATGCTGTCTTTCCTCCAGTGAATATTCTTGGCCCCTTTGTCAAATATCATGGTGGCTGAACTTGCATGTACTCATATTTGGGTCTTCAGTTTTGTTCCTCTGATCTACGGGTCTACTTTTGTGCCAGTACCATGTTATTTTAACGACTGTAGCTCTGTAATACAGTTTAAAATCTGGTATAGTAATCCCTCCAGCATTGCTCTTAGCGCTCAGGGTTGCTTTGGCTATCTGAGGTCTTTTGTGCTTCCATATGAATCTTAAGATGTTTTTTCCCAATTCTGTGAAGAATGTCATGGGGAATATATAATTTTAAAAATATGTCCTTATGATTCTCTGAATTTCCTCAATGTCTCTTGTAATGTTTTTCTTTTTATCTCTGATTTTATTAATTTGGGTCTCTTTTGGATAATTTGGCTAAGGGTTTTTTAATTTTATCTTTTTTGAAGAAATAACTCTTTGCTTCATTGATTGCTTCTATCTTATTTCTTTTTCATCAATTTCTGACTCATCTTCATTATTTCTCTCTATCTATTGCTTTGGGGATGGTTTGTTCTTGTTTATCCAATGCATTAAGGTTCATCATTACTTTATTTGAGATCTCTCTCTTTTTTTAAATGGAGCATTTCATGAGTTTGCATGTCATCCTTGCACAGGACCTCTGCTAATCTTCTCTGTATTGTTCCAGCTTTTGCCAAAATGAGCACCTCTCTGATTTTTCAGTGTAGGTACTTAGAACTATAAACTTTTCCCATATAACTGTCTTCATTGTATCCCTTAGATTTGAAAATGTTGGACTTTCATTTTTATTTAATTATAGCATTTAAAATTTTTCTTCTTGATTTTTGCAATAATCAAGTCATTGCTAAATAGTGTGCTTTTAATTTTCATGAATTTGTATATTTCCTACAGTTTCTCTTACTGTTAAATTTTACCTTTATTCCATTATGTTCAGATAGAATACAGGATGTTGTCTCAATTTTCTTCTATTTGTTGAGCCTTGCTTTGTGTCCTAATATGATATGTGGTTTCTTTAGAAAGGGCTCTATGAAGTGCTGAGAAAAAAAAAAAAAAGTGTATTCTTTGTTATTTGGGTTGAATGTTCCATAAAATGTTCCATAGATGTCAGTTGGGTTCATTTGATCTATGATGTTATTTCATTCCATTATTTCTTTACTGATTTTTGTTTTATACAGTTGATCCAATGTTGCATGTGGGTTACTGAAGTTACCCACAATTACTGTGTTGGGTAAATCTGTGATTTGAAACTTAGTGTTTGCTTTATGAATTAAATGATTCTGTATTAGATGTGTATATATTTGAATTGTAATTTCTTCTTTAAAATTTTGTAAATTCACCCTTGTCATGCAGGGCCCATGGAGGTCAGAAGAGGGTATCAGAACCCCTGTAACTGGAAGTGTTAGCCACCATGTGAGTGCTGGGAAATGAACCCAGGTCCTCTGCAAGAGCAGCCAGTGCTCTTAACTGCTGATCCATCTCTCCAGTCCCTGTAATTTCTTCTTGATAAACTGATGCTTTGATCAGAAAGAAATAACCCTGCTTATCTCTTCTGACAAGAATTGAAGGCTATTTTTTCAGACATTAGAATAGCAATACTTGCTTGTCCTGTTTCCATTTTTCACCCCGCCCCGAGCCTTTCACTTTAAGATGCTGTTTATCTTTGGGAGTAAGGTGTGTTTCTTGGAAGCAGCAAAAAAGAAGGATTTTTGTTTCCTAATCCAAATTGCTAATCTGTGTCCTTTGATGGGTGACTTTAGATCATTGATCTTCAGAGTTATTATTGAAAAGTATGCCTTTTTCCCTGGCATTTTGCTGACTGTGTAGTATTTGGGAGTTTCTTGATCTTTTTTTTAATGAATGTCATTGCATCATTTATTTCTTTTGCCTGTAGTCTCTTAAATACCTTTCTTTCAGACTGAAGCATTCCTTTAAGTATCAACAGTAGGGCTGGCTTGGTTGTCATTAATTCCCTGAACCTTCTTTTATCCGGGGAAGTTTTTGTTTTATTGTCAATTATGACAGATAGTTTTGCTGGGTTTATTAGACCAAGTTGGCAACTGTGATCTTTCAGAGTCTGAAAGCTATCAGCCCACACCCTTCTTGCTTTCATGGTTTGAATGGAGAAGTCAGCAGTTCTTCTGATGGGCTGGCTTTGTATGTGACTTGACCCTTCTCTTTTGCAGCTTTCAATATACATTCTTTGTTCTGCACATTGAGTGTTTTAACTATAATATGACATTAGGAATTTCTTTTCCGGTCCTATTAGTTTAGTCTCCTGTGTATCTCTTGCATCTGGATGGGCATCTCTTCTCCTTCCTTTATGCCTATGATATACAGATTTTGCCTTTTCATGGATCCCCAGATTTCTTGCATGTTCTATTCATACAGTTTTCAAATTTATCATTGACCTGGACTGAAGAATCCAGTTATTCTATTTTATCTTCTGATGCTGATATCTTCCATGTGGTCTATTCTATTGATGAGGCTTTCTGCAGAACCTTTTATTTGACCTATTGTATTTTTTCATTTCCATCATCATTTTGGTTTGTGTTCTCTTTGTTATTTCTATCTCTGTGTTAAACTCTATTTTCATATCATAGATTCACCTCCTTTTCTTATACAGCTTTTTTAAAATGTTGGATTCCTCTTTGACTTGTTTTAGTCATATTTATAATCATTCTTTTGAATTCTGAATTTCATCTGAGACATTTTGATCAGAGGTCGGTCATTAGTATGAGGTTGGTAATTTTTGGAGGAGACAAGTTGTCTTAGTTTTTAACATTGCTTATGTTTTTGCGATGGGAGCTGCACGTGTGGGGTTAGATCACTGGTTAGGATTTGTTATTTTAATTCATTTAATTGGTTTGCCTCTCTACTTTCAGTGAGTATGTTTGCAGTGTTCAGGAGAGACTAGGTTGTAGTACAGTGATGTTTTCATTTGTTAGACTTGTGTTCCAGGCACCAGACTCCATCTCCAGTCTGCCCCTGTTAAACCCTGTCTGAAGCAATAGTCACTATATAGTAGTTAATTCACTCTGATAATAGAGTAGCAGGTAACTAGAAAATGGACACTACTTAAGTACTGATTGCTTTCTGCAGAAAATATGTATATCAATATGTTAGTATTGTTAGAGTAACAAAAACCCCCACAAGATTAACTGGTCAAAAAATAAAATCATTAGTTTGTCTAAAGACCCATCTCTCCAGTTTTACTGGTCAATCACCTGGTCTTGGAACCAGGCCTAGGAAGGCAGGTTCACATTAAGTTATGCTAAAGAGATGGGAGGGATATTGAGTGCGTTAATGAGATGGTAAACGTTTTTTTACTTGGAATTCCCATCTCCTAGTACAGTCTTGTGGACCCAGTTGCAGACATGAGGAGTCTGTAAGTCCTGCCGACTTTTCTGAAGAATTCAGAAAAGAGCATATGCTCTCTCTGTTTTGTCTTTATATCCCTTTACTAAGCATGTTTTCTCTATCACTTTGGGAAACTCAATATTTTAGGTTTCTTTACATTTTCTCTAAAGCTCCCTTCTCCCCCCACGTGGCTGCTAGTCTGCCATGCATCTGACCTCCACGCCAGCTCTAAACCAACATGGCTTCATGACTTTTTTCTTTTTCCCCTCCCTCCCCCGCCTCAAGGTAGCTGCTGAGATTCCCAGTTTGCCTGGCCTGAGGTCTTTTCTTTAAATTCTAATAAAATTGTTCTGAAGCTTCTTTTGGAGTCCTTTCTTCCTTATCTTATACAGCTTTTATGAATGAGACTAAGAATCCTCTAGGGGATGTTGTTTCTCCCCTGTAACGTATGAGTGGAAAGAAAAAGAAGAAAAGAAGTAAGCAATCATGGCGAGACTAGTGAAAAGTACCAGGTGATTAGAGGAAAAGCAGACGAGAGGGACAAACAAAGTGGGAATGATTGGAGCAAAGGAGAATGATGGGGTGGACATGCGGGAGTTCTGGTTTATAGGAGACTAAAAGAGAGAAGGTAGAGATATGTACCCAGATATCAGAAACCAGGTCATACTCTGGGCTTGGGAGATGTAACAGTAAGAGGAACAGGTATGGGAAAAAGAGTGGAAGAAAAAAAAAGGAAAGGAGGGAGAGACAGACAGAGACAGAAAGACAGTGCGAACAGTGGGAGATAGGGTTCTTCGGCTAGAAGGCCCTACTGTACTATATAGATAAGAAATAGCTGTTGTGGGGATGAGAGTTGGGTGGTTGGATATATCCTATAATGGAACCACTGACAGATAAAGAATAGCTGTGATGGGGAAGGAGAACTGGGTGGAGATATAAGAAAATGAGATCAGTGGTCTGAATGCTGAGTCCTCTAACCTGCTTTGTCTTCTTGGTTCTGGTTCAGGCTGTACTTTATGTTGCTTTTTATTGGTTCTGCTCTTCTCTTGAGGGCTCCTGACCCCTCCTTGTGTGTGGAGTTTTGTGGGCTGTGGATAGCCCAAGCAAACTCCACCCAGCCACAGTCGCTGTGTTCCCACAGGGTTGGGAGCAACTGATGACTGTGTGGTGCCCAACGTTCTGTTTAGAGTTTGTGCTTAGCTCCTCTGGCTTCGCTTCTCCATTGGGAGCACTGAGGGTGATCCTGGAAGTAATTGCTGGGACCCCTTCTATCAATGGTGCCTTTGTAGGTCTCCTGGTTGGAGTCTTTTAGCCCAGTTTGCCTGGGATGAAACACCTGCTCTAGAAGTGACAGCTGTGTTGGCTGCATTCCCAATACCAAATCTTATCCAATGGTAGAGAAAGCTTGAGTCCGATGGCAGGAGAGGTTTGGCGGGGGTATAGAGCCAGTCAGTTCCAGGACTGAAGGAGTTGCAATGGAGTGATAAAATATCCCCATTCCCTTTAATTCTCAGACTGTAATTAGCCACTAGCTCTGATATGGCTCTGGTCCACCATCTTAGCCAAAAGTGGAATCCTGGGTTTTGAGATGGGACTCTGTTCAAGGGGGAAATGCACTAACCAGTTGTCCAGAAGATGTAATGTGATAGAGAATAGCTACCCAGAAGGGGCTGTCCCACAACATGAAGGAAACCTAAAGACCCAGAGCTGGTTGAAAGAAAACAGCACTGTGAAAGGCAGTGTCAGGACACTGAGGCCTCTCCTCAAAAGCAAATGAGAAAGACCAGGACGGGGCACACATGGGGATCCCTGTGCCATTGCCAAGAGGACACCCAAGGTGGGAGTGGGTCTCAGACAGGGATGGAGTGGGAACACTAAAGCCATAGGCACATTAAAGGACAGAGCTAAGACACAGGTTCTGGGTCTGTTGAAGCCAGGAAAGCCATTCCCATTACAGAGGCCTGACAAATCCGGCCACTAAAGTTCTCCATCAGGCAGGTACTGGGTGTACAGTATTGATGACTACCATTTATAGACTGTTTGCCATTTTCTTAGGAAAAGCACAATTCTAAACTTTTTTCCCCACATTACCCTGTTTTAATGCTACAGCTCCCCAAGTAAGAGTTATCCCTCCTGACTTTCAGATAGGGAATCGAATCCTTTAATATCTCACCCAGATTTATACAGCTATGAGCAGGAAGCACACTGGAATTCAGGTACTTTGCTCTTGCATCGTGCTGAACTTGACCTTGTGACCTTGACTTTAGCTCTGCTCCTGTTACCAGTCTCACTGCTCTGTCCTAATCTGTTAAGAAAATCCTTTCTACTCAATTCTAAA